AATATGTTCTATATCGTTGACAAATAAAATAAACAGTAATGGACCAAGATGTGAACCTTGTGGCACACCAGATGTTACATTAACTATGGTGGACAGATTTCCTTCAAATCTTACCTTTTGCGTCCGCCTTGATAAGTACGACTCGATCCATTTCAGTAGCCTAGGACTGAAGCCTAATTTGGATAGCTTAAAAAGCAAGAGTGGTATATCAACTCTGTCAAATGCTTTACTGAAATCAGTATATAGCGTTTCTACATAATTTCTTTTATCCATTGAGTTTAAACAGTATGACACAAAATGTATCAAGTTGGTAGTTGTAGATCGTCCTTTAACAAATCCGTGCTGTTTGCTAGTAATTACCGACCTAATCTGTAAGAATACATTGTCATTAATGATGGATTCGAATAATTTAGGAATGCTTGATAATATAGCAACTCCACGATAATTTTTTACATCAGACTTTTTACCACTTTTAAAAATTGGAATTAAAAATGATTCCTTCCAAATCGGAGGAGGTACACTCGACTCCAAGGATAAATTAAACAGCCAGAACAAAGGTTTTGCTAGCTCCTTCGAAAGTGACTTTAAAAAAATAGGAGGTAAACCATCCGGTCCAGCACCTTTTGAAGCATCCAAGGTTTCAAGACCACGTATAATTTCCTTGAGAGTTAAATTATCCACTGCGATGTTCTTCATTGGCTCGGGGAGATACGAAAAATATTGATAATCTCGCTCATTCTCATCATGAATTGTATAAACGTCCTGAAAGAAGTCAGCAAATAAGTTACTAATCTGACTAGGAGTATTGCCCAACTTACTGCATTTTGGATGGAAAGCTCTTGGATTTTTGCCTTTCTTTAACATAGTTAAAAAAGGATTTTGGGTCTGACTTAATGTTAGTTTCAATCTTTCTATTGTGCTCTTCATATGCATTTTCAATTTCTAAATTAAGTTGGTCACAAATAGTAAGATAATAGGTAAAATTTTCATCATTTTTGTTTCTCTTGTACGCTTTATGAGCTTTCTGCTTTCTGTTTCTAAGATTTATTATCTGTCTATTGTACCATATTGGTGTTTTTGCATTGGCTTTTTTCTTTTGCTTCATGGGCACTGTCTGTTCTAGAATAGAATAAATAATCTGATAGAATACATCAACTGCATGTTCTGTATCATGACTACGGATTACAAGTTGCCAATCTATACTGTTCAATTTATTTTTGATAGCTCCATAGTCTGCCTTACTGAAATCGAAATAGGGGTCTGACAAATTATTATCCACCATTGCGGTTTTTTCAAGTATCATTATGGAATATTCAATAGCAGTGTGGAACACTTCATTTTTCTAAAGAGGAGAAGGTGACTCTGATACGCAAAAATCGTCAGTCATGGTAGTAAATAGCAAATCTAAATAGCAGTTATTTTGATTTTTTATATGATTTACTTGATTCAATCCAATTTCTGCGCATTTTTCAAACAAAGTATGAAGTGTTTCATTTTCCCCCATAATCGGAATCAAAATGGATTCATTTTCGTCATCTACAATAAAATTAGCTGCCCGTTGATTAAAATCTCCGTATATGTGAACGTTTGCTTCAGCCTCGAATTCCGACATAATACTGCTAGCAAGACCAAAAAATTTTTCAAATGCTTCTTTTTTAGCATGTTCTGGTGGAAAATACACAACCGCGAAAATATGAACACGATCACCAATAATTAATTTGACCCATACATGGTCAAACTCCTTGTTCTTGCAAGATGAAATTTGCTCAGATTCATACTCCACGCTAACTGCTATTAACACACCTCCACCGCATTTTTTGTTGGATAATAATTTATCGCGATCATCTCTATAAACATTAAAACGATCGCCAAAAACTTCTTCGTTATTAATACTAGAATCCCAACTTGTTTCTGTTCCTAAAATCACAGGAAAAGTGCAAGCATTAACTTTCTTGTAAATCTCATTCACTTTGGTGGCGCTTCTCATTCTATTAAAATTCTGACAGTAAATGACCAACTCCTTACTTTCATCATTACGATGCAATTCCAAATTTTGTGCTTCAGTACTAGGCGGCAAACTAAAACTATTTAAATTAATTACCTCTCCTTCCTGCTGTCGAGAGGTCGTCAAATCGTGAAAGTTGTCCAGTTCTTCAAAAACATTGTCATCGTTGGGACTTTCCTCTAGATGACTCGTCAATTTAGTCGAAAACACGAATGCCTGCATGAACTTGAACATGCCTCACATGCAGTAGCTGAAATCATCCGGTTAGGCGCAGGAATGGTACATGGAGATTCGCTCTCCGGATATGGGTTTAGAATTTCACCTCGATGAAATTGCATCGTTGGACGATAATTAGTCGGTGGCCTGGAGAAGCGATCTTTCGCTACTGCAAGAAGCTCTCTATCAGACGGAAGTAAGTGGGCGCGATTCAGTCCAATGTTTCTGCGATTGATGTCACTATTATCCCTGTTACGACTGTTGTTGTAGAAGTAAACATCGTAGTTGTCGTTTCTGCTTTGATTTTGGTGCTGGTTGTTGATTTTGTTATTGTTGTAGTTGTTGTTGTTGTTGCTGTTGTTGTTGTTGTTGTTGTTGTTGTTGTTGTTGTTGTTGTTGTTGTTGTTGTTGTTGTTGTTGTTATTACGGATGTTGTTGTTACGGATGTTGTAGCCTAAATTTTGACGTGATGTGTTCTGCTTCCTCCATTTTTTAGCCTTGTCAGCCAATTTTTGCTGACTCAAGCGGCGCGATACACGAGCGTCGTAGTCCGTCCAATCTGGTCTCCACACCTTCCGGGTACCAAGAAGTCTCCATCCTGAGTCAGTGGCATCATTATTGTTGTTATTTTTATTTGTATTGTTTATTTCTGAGTCCAGGCTGGGACACAAATCCGGAGACAGAGTCAAAGGTGCAGTACTATGTACTGTCATAATGTTTGCTGATAATGACTTCAGCTCGTCCAGAATGTCCAACTCTAACATTGGATTATTGCGCATTGGAGCACTAGTTGTCAGGTCCATAGTGAGACTTGAGATTTTATTAACTTCATCGCTTAAACATCTCAAGTCACTTGATATACCTAACGTCATCGCTTGTAATGACGTCGATATGCTTTTATTGGATGCCTGCATTGCCATATCATTTAGCGATGTCATATGGTTCTTAATGGCAATAACATTTCCAGTAGAACCGCTGCTTTTATTCGCTGCCAGCTCTTTTTTTTATGTCGGTGAGCAGAGTGTCGAGGTGATCGATCGCTTTATGCACAACATCAACATTATTTTGCTGAGCGGAGCGATGTGTGACTTCTGAGTTATTATTTATTATTTCGGTTAGTTTCGCCTGCTGATCGATTAGCAATTTGAAGTCAAAGTTCATTGTGACTAGCACTTGACACGAACTGCAGCACGGTATGACATAAGATTGAGTGTCAATCTTTTTGTCATTTTTACGAAGCGAACCACGTTTTACAGGCACTCCCACGCAGGCGGCATGAAATGTGCGCGTACATCCGACGCATTCCCACATTACCGTTTCGACGGAGGAATCAAGTGAGCAAATTTCACAACTCATTTTGAACAAAAACAGTACACAAGACTAAAAACGTAGCGTATGCAAAAATAAATACCACGAAAACGCACGTGGTTAAGAGCGAATTGAAAACGCGACTGCACTGATTGACGACACGATATACACTTACGATTAATAACTGTGGAAGTGCATCTAGAACACTAAGTTGAGAGCACGCAATAAGCTAAAATGCGATAAGCAATAAGCTTGAAATGCGAAGAAGAAGAAGAAGAAGACCGGCAGTGTTGGCAGAAAAAGTGATTTTTGTCATTTAATTCAAACCAAAAATATTTGAATACCTATAACTTTTTTTTAGCACTTCCCGAAAAAAAAACAATTATAATAAAACAACGAAATTATTGTTAAATTATTGTACGGGAGGAAAAATAGATTTCGATTTTTAACGATACAATACTCAAACAACGAAAATAAGTGTGATTGGATCAAATTTGTTCGACAAAAATCACTTTTTTATATTGTTTAGATGCTTAACAACCCCCCTTTTTTACTGTAAATTTCTCAAATAGCATGATTTTCATTGTTGTGAACCATGAATTTCGTTGTGATTTTATGGTAATGGACAAAAATGTCCAATGTTTTGGCAGTAAATAACATGGTTACAATGACAATGAAAATCATTGTATTTTTATTGGGTTTTTTTTTACCGTTTAGCTCAGTCGGTAAAGGCGCAGCTACAAAGCAAGTTCATATTGAAGGCGGTTTGGTTCGATTCTCGCCGGTCTATTAATTTTTCGGCTTGGAAATTTTTTGACTTCCTGGAGCATAGGATTGAAACAGGCATACAAATAAATTGTGGAAGTGCTTCAAAGAACACTGAGTTGAGAGACAAAAAGGCTAATATGTTATAAACAGTAAGCTTGACATGTCATGTATTAGTAATACAAATGATATTTTAAGCAATGTAAACAGTTTTTTATTTGTCGCGAATTTCTTTTGAGAATTCGCGGATCAAATTTTGAAAATCTTGTTACAGCCCTGTAACTAATAAAACTCCTGAAGTGACATAAATTGCTGTAGAGGTTTTACTCTCACTAGGTCGAAGGCACCTGGCAGAGTGAATGCGAGAAGCCGAGCTGACCAGCAAAAGGAATAATAATTATTGATAAGATCTTTTTCCCGCTCGGTCACTCGCATTTACTCTGCCAGGCGCCTAAGTAATTTTGAAAGCGACTTTGACAACTTTGTCAGAAACTGCAATTTAAAGCATTCAGCATCCAGCATCTCGATCCGTACTCTTACAAGCTTGGAAAATTAGTTCGTTTTTACTTCAGCACCGAGAAGATCTCCGAACTTAACTAGATCAGTCGGAAGGTCTTGGCTTGCTTAACAACTTTTGCAATTTTTTTAAAACACAACGTGTGCATAAACCGGCTTGACTAAAAACACATTGTACGTACCATTCTAGGACTCCCGGCCCGATTCGCCGTCGCTAGACGATTTGAGAAGAAAACAGGAAGAACTTTTAAAGCAACTGGAAGCTCAGTCACCCCGCGTTCAAAACCCTGCCGACTTGACGAATGACGACTCGCTCCTGGAGGACGTCCTAATGGCCGAAAGGTTGGCCGAAGAGCAGGAATCGGGTGGAGCCTCATCACAATCAGCGCCAGCATCCACTACCTACCCGTTGTTGCTGCCGTCGCGTCGACGCATGTTTCCGATTGGCATGATGGCACCACCACCTCCGCCCCCACCGCTTCCGTCGGACACAAACGGTGCCGAACGTCCGCCGGAGCCGGAATTTTTCAATCTGGACGAAATCAAAATGAGCAAAGTCCCATTCATCGATGATCCCGCCTCGATGGGATTGAAAAAGATGTCCCTGGGGACGCCCATCCTGACGCCGTTTACGCCATTCAACACGCTGCCTTGCGGAGACGCATTTTCCAAAGGTGTTAGCGATGTGATTAATTTTGAAAATTTGCCCAACTCCACCGGCAAGTACGAACGGATGAAATCCCTTTTGTCGAAGGTGCGGAACGTCATTAGTGTGCACAATGGCGTGGCGGACGGTGAAAGCAGATAACCGGAGTGGCAGGTGGAGGAAGATTGCGCATCGTTGAGTGAGGAAGGTGGAATTGAGTGAATGTGTGACTGTTTTTTTAGCATTAAACAGAGATAAGCATGAATTGGGACATCATTTTGCGTTCAAATCGATTACACTTTGTATGTGAGAAATCTTTACCTTCATCTTGAAAGATGAAGTATAGCCGTAATATAAGATCAGTAATAAATGTAGTTTTATGTCGGTTGAAGACATGGAAGAGCGTTTTTGTTTTTAAATCCGAAATTGCCTTATAGGGGAAATGGATGTAATGTCGGTCTAAATGCCCCTAATTTGGGCACATACATAAATTCAGTAATCGGCTAAATTTTCAATAGTGACCAAAAATATCCATTAGTACTGTCCCAATGACGCGTTTATCTAGATAAAATTGATAAATAGCAGATTTTTAGCGATGGGCCCAATCTTAGATCCATAGGCCAACATTAGAGCCATTTCCCCTACGTGTTTGAACTGCACGGATGGGTATTAACTAGCATGACCACCGCCGCCCAGTAACATCTGTACTAACAACAACGGGGTAACTGAATTATCACGTTCGGTGCAAACTGAATAAATCAAGTCCGGTAAATGGGCAACGAAAAACATTAATTCCAGGCTTTCGGTAATCCCTTGGTCAGCGGGCCTCTGGCAGTAATTAGCAAATTTACGCAAAATTAATAGATCCTACATGAGCACACAGCGAACCGCGGCACGTCCCACATGAACTCACGCGTACGCCAGCCAATCGACGAGATGTAACACAATCCCACAGCCCAATGAATCTATAATGCTCCACCCTCAGCCATTACAAGCCAGGATTTACTCACTTTCGGGGCAGCGATTGTTTATATGGGGTCGCGTGGTTTTGCTTCTTGCGCGGGGTACCCACCACCCACTCGCGCGCCCGACCGCATTCAATCTGATATTAAAACGATGAACTCGACAGTGAGCATGCATAAGGGCCTATACGCGATGATCGATTCTCTTCATCGATTTTCTCTTTGCATTGCTACAGCTAAGCGAAACAATTTTGTAGAATTTATTCAATGTAGAGTTGTAACAGGTTGCATTGGCTATCAAAAGCAACAGCAAACGCACCGACAAACGTTAAATCTAGCGAGTTATTAACAAAAGAGAAAATCGATGAAGAGAATCGATCATCGCGTATACGCCCTTATGAATGCTCACTGTCGAACTATTCTGCTGCAGCTACAGGCGAGGATGAACGATAAACGACGACAACGACTACGACGACGAGATGGCTATTATATGATCAAACAGCCAACCAGGGTTGGCATGCTCAAGTTTTTGCTCATTTGTTAAAAACTCTGCACACACTTGACGAAACATGGATTTTCTTGAAGCAACGGATAACGAAGAGTTTGAAGTTCCTATTAGGTACGTACAACACAGTAGATGTTTACATGTTTGCGACACAAAACGAAAAGAGAAATAATCACTGCTTATTTCGGACTTTCAATGAAAAAAACAAACGAATTCAAACGTTGTAATTTAACCAGTGTTGGCAAAATCACCAATCAAATGATATTTCCGCTCTCATACGCTCTCAATATCACGCGTGATATTGGAACAAAATATTATACTTGATAATGATTTTTGATATTACGAGACTATTCACAACGTGTAAAAGTGAAGCTGAGAGTTGACTCGACACAACAATGATTCCGTTGCACATCGTTTTTTTAGAAATAGAAAGTAAGTATAGTTTGCTATCTCTCAATTAATCTTCCCCGATGGCAGACACGAAGCAACCGCTGCCAGCAGTGACATGGAGTTTCGGGTCACGTTCGGATGTAAAGCAAAAATCACGAAACTCAAACTCACCACGGTCTGGTTAGAATTCAAGCTGAACAATGCAGTAAGTCCTAAGTAATATTGATCGATTCTCTTCATCGCCTTTGTCTTTTATTAATAACATGCGTACAGAGCCGTTTCTTGTCTTGTTTGTCGTATTAGAAGCTAAATAATAGTTTCTTTCATCGATCTGTATGATGAAAATAGCTGGGAATGTCTTATACCCCGTTCACATTACAGCTTATATCACGTAATATAGGCTGTCTTGCAATGAGCACTCATACATAGAATTTCCAGTGAAAACTAGATGTATGAGTGCTCATTGCAACACAGCGTATATCACGTGATATACGCTGTAATGTGAACGGGGTATTACCACGACAGTGAGGATGCAAAGAGAAAGTCTATGAAGAGAATTTGTCAATGTTACTTAGGACCTAATGCAATGTTCAGCTTGAATTGAAACTGGTCATTTTTACTAGCTTCTTATTCGTAGCTACGATTTCACAGCTTGTAATATCATCCTCAGTTGCATGCTTATTGATTTTTGTCTTGTCAAGCGTAATCTTGGACATTGGTGAGATTAGATTTTTTGATATTGTACCAACACTAGATTTAACTACTCTATGCAAGCCTACTGTGAACTCTGATCCTACTCTAACAATTGCTTAACGTAAACCCAAGGGTCAAACAGCAATTTGCGTGGAACAAAATGAGCATGCCAACCCTCCCGTCAACCTAGACCCAAAGCCATGCAAACACGCAGACTACATAATGCGTGCCATTGTGCAGCCAAACCGGTCCGGGCCCGTTGGAGGACAAACCTAGTACTGCACTGATAAAATATTGACGGCAGTATTTCAACGTGCGCTCTGTCCGGGCGTTAGCTTATTTATGGCGCGGTTTCGGATAAAGTGAGTGACAAATTTATTTTGTCCTGTTCGCGCCCTACAAATCCGGGATACAAAGAGGGCCACATGCAGTATTACTCATGTTGGGTCAAACTTTTGCACGATCCGGATCGGTATAATTGGACGACCGACCGGGAGTTACCGGAAAATTATTTGGACAAATCGCTTGCGGTTGGCTAGTAATGTACCACGTCGTCTATTGCAGTGACTGCATGTATGGGGGACAACGGGAGATATACGCAAACTGCACAGGTGGGAATTAATATAAGGACAGTTTAAAAAGCATGGCTCCGCCTCATGCTGCAATATGAACCTAAGATAAAATAATAATAATATTGTATGGGAAATTGGTCATTTTAGAAGTATGATTTAGCATGTCAAACAATATTGGGGCTCCAGAAAAATCAAGGGCCCTTATTACAGGGATGCCAGATTTTTTTTCAGAAGTCTGCGAAAAATGTCTGTGAGTTTCACAAATTTATGTAATTGGTCTGCATAAAATTAGCAGAAGGGTAGGGGGGTCATGAAATAGATGCAAAATTTTAAATGTCAGTAAAAGCCATATTCGAGCTTAAAAGACCTGCTTTTAACGAATTGAATTGGGAATGCATCCATTTACGCCATATACGTTAAAAGCAATTAATAAAAAAGATAAATTACGATTACACGACAAATGAGGTCGACTCCAAGTTGGGATTAGTTCACTCATATTCAGTGTTGGAAAAATATCAAAAAATCAAATCTCACCAATGCCCAAGATTACGCTTGATTTTCGTAGACAAAAATCAACAAACAAACATCTGCGGTTGATTTGCAAGCTGTGATATCGCAGCTCGGAATATCTCACCAATAGAGCACGGAAAAAAAATGTTCATGTAGTTTCCATTGGGAATGCACATTACATTTTTTCCATTAACAAAACCAACTATATCTATCTGAATTTCAAATGACATTCATGTGATCACATGAGTTCTATATAATAAATCACTTATATTTCATTTGATATATAAGGTTCATGGGATTTTGTGATGCAATTCCCAATTATGATATCACATGAAAGTTATGTGAAATTCTAATGAATATTTTCCATTGGATATGTGATTTATTCTTTGAGTGTATACTTCTCGAATAAGAAAATTTTTCGTCGATTTTTGTCATATTCGAAAAGATTTATGAGGCTCGGAAAATTTTACTCAGTCTACAAGTAAACTACATTTTTTAGTGTTTGAGTAATTTAAACTTAAATTTGAGTCGATCTTATATGCCATGTAGTGTGGAACTCCGTTAGTTACTTAGTACTGCTCCTTTTGCACGCCAGCAGCGGGGGAATGAGCACATCTTAGTGTAAGATTCAACTTTCCCCCATCTAAATAAGGAGAAATCATCAACAATCAAAAAGAGCAATTTGTAAGCTTATTAATACGATTCTAAATACTTCGTGTTCAAAAAGAGTTGATAAATCAGGATCAGGGTCAAAGCTGGGATTTGGCATTGTCATTGACAGACTTTCGCGCGATATTGTCAAATTGATTATCACTTAGTCACTGACAGACATGATTCTCAAAAAAAAAAAAAAACCTTCGGCAAAAACATTAATTTTTTTGTCAATGGCAACCCTAATAAACAAATACCATAAACGAACTGTATATCGGATGGGTAAACTATCCCACAAATGGTTTGGATGATACCCCGAACACGTCGTTAAGCTCTCTTTTATGGTTATTTTTATTAGGGAAAGATTTACCTGGTAACAAAAAGTGTAATTTCGTGCATTCTGTGTCACATTATTGTTATCAAAGTATTTCAGCACGTAGATGCTTGTTTACTTTAACGGCTCCATGTAACTTTGTTGCTCAAGTCATCTAAATTCGTTACAAAATTAGATAATAAAAAAAAAAAAAATCTACACATGTTCGTCCCTGACATACTAATCAGAGTTGCTGAAACTATTCAGATCGGAAGGAATATCGAAATAAAGATCATCGAGAAATGGAGAGTACGGTACAACGAAGCCAAGTATGATGAATTGGCGCTAAACACTAAAACTGTTGTAACGGTTTTATAAATACAGTTTTGAAATAAGATATATCAAGCGACATATTCATTACATTTTGCAAAATAATTTCACACCTGGGGGAGAAAAACTTGGCTAAATAAAACACAATTTGCTGATACCAACATTACCAACCTTTTTGCCTTTCTCGTACACCAAGTTGTACCGAAAGGCTTGCTTTCACTTGAAAAACACAATTTCGTTCCAAGACCCGGAGAAACGAATGGCATATAACAATAGACTCATCTCAACGGGATCGGAATATGTTTCTGTATGTGTATGTATGCATGTATGTATGTATGTAACTTCATATGAGTGTAAATCACTCAATTTTCGCAGAGATTTCTTGACCAATTTGAGTGGAACAAGTTCCAGAAGATGTGTTTCAG